ATTCCAAAATTAGATTTATCTAAATAAATTTATACCAATTAAAATTGTTTAGGTTTCATAATTACACCAATAGAGAGTAAAGGTTAACATTTTTCGAGAAAAATATTGTAACCTAAATCGTTGTCTGAATTAGCTAGTAAAGTTTCTCAGGTAACTCAATATTCACGGTATAAAGGTATATTTATCTAGAAATACATGTACACATCCACTACTTAAGTATAAATGCTCGTATTCATCACATATTTGCCCTACCGGGATTCGATACCGGGAATATTGAAAATCCGTCGTACATACCACTCGAGTCACGGGAGCTAAGAAATATACATAAGTATATAAATAATCTTGTGATTTACGCTAGCATGACGGACACCATCAGTTATTGTGCAATCTCCGGTGATTCAACGGTGATCACTGGAGATTGTTGGTTCTCATAATTGAGCTCCGGTGCAAACCTTTAATTGGGCCCTGGGTCACAGCCACGCGCCTGACATGCCGTAAATCCGGCGCTGATTCAACTGATCTTGAGTGAAAGAAACTTGATTGATCGTTTCGTGAATAACCAACTTATTATTATTATACTCTTTACTGCATCAAATAGTTCAAAACAGAAAGTCAAATACATAGTTAGCAAACCTTATTGAATAAATACTGCATTTGTCTGAAAACATTTTTATTATTAAATTTTGTAACATGCATGACTACCTAACTGTTACACAAGTCGACATTTAAGGTTAATTGTATACTTAATTTTGGCGTGGTTTGAACTTTGGGTAAGGGAAATAGCTCCACATACTTTTGATTGTATTGTTTATAACATAAATACAATAAAATTATTGAGAGTAGGGATAAGGCAAAGGATCCATGGATACTTAAACATTATTCAGGGAAAAAACACAGGCCGTTATCTAAATAGACAACGAGTATGATCAGTTATAAACAGTAAACACACCCCCATACAAAAATACTGATTTATATCGTTTACAAAATATTGCCTGTTTAAAGTAAGAAGATTCTTCAAATTATGTACATAAAACTTGTTAGGGTAAAAAGGGGTGAATATTCACTCACAGATTTTGATACACACTTGCGTATTACAAAAAATTGTCACAATAAATTATAAAATATAAACGTTTTATCAATAAAATTAAACCACCTAAAAGTAAAAAAATAATAACCTTTTCTTGGAGTCAGTGCCATGCATGTCTGGTAGATCTGAGTACCCCTTTACTACTTTGGTTGGCATAGCAGCGATTCCAAATATTAAATTTGACTAAAGATAAAAAAGGTTTATTATTTTTTCCTTTCGCCGGTTTAATTTTATTGTTGAAAAGTTTTTGCCTGTGTTTGTTTGTAATAAAAAAACCAATGCGGTTTACTTTTTTTAATTTGTAAACTAAATAAAAAAAGACGTCATAGGTGGGATACGGAACAATCCGTTTAAGATTTTATTTATAATTTATGTTTGTATACAAAAAGTCAGGAGACTAAACGCCAAAATCTTTTTGATAACACAATCCAAAGACAAAAATCTTCGAAGCTGTATCTATTGCCAATGTGATGTCAGTTACTCTCACTCCGAAATAGACGGAACTGTGTCTTGGTTGAAATAGTGAACTGAATATTTCTTGGCAAAATATCATAGGATGTCAAAATAAATAATTTTAGTGAAAACATGATTTTCAAGCTGATATAAATTAATCTTAATATTTATACCTATATCAAACTTACATAATATTATCAGTCTTTAGTTTACTTATGGCAGTCAGCACCTTGGTTAGTTTTGCATAATCAGTCTTATAGAGTAAAAGTTGTATAAAATACCAACTCATTGTAATTTATCTACCGTGTTCTACAGTAACCTCGCAGTATTAGACATTTTATTACCGAGTAAAGCGAGCGCTCATTGCGGTTACGTGAGATTACAATGACATTGTGGTAACAGTTTACAGTGGACACATGTGCACAGAGCACAGCAGACGTGTATTGTGTTACTTTTCAACAATAAAATTAAACCGCCGAAAATAAAAAATAATAACCTTTTCTTGGAGTTAGTGCCATGCATGTCTGGTAGATCTGAGTGCCCCTTTACTACTTTGGTTGGCATGGCAGCGATTCCAAATATTAAATTTGACTAAAGATAAAAAAGGTTTATTATTTTTTCTTTTCGGCGGTTTAATTTTATTGTTGAAAAGTTTTTCCCTGTGTTTGTTTGTAATAAAAAAACCAATGCAGTTTACTTTTTTTAATTTGTTAACTAATCCAACAGCCACACTCAGAGCCATCAATTCACTTTTAAGTTGATTAATGTTGCTGTCTGTGGTTGAATAAGGTGAAGAACATTATATTTATTTGACGTCTCTGAGGGCCTTCAGTTATGCAAGGTATTATAATATAATACCTTTTAAATTTTGATCAGTATTTTTCATTCGTATAATACATATTGGGTATATACGAATGAATACTGATACCTATATATTCATACAAGTCATTAAATAAAAACTAATTAAAATCATTGAACGTCAAATTAATGCCTTTGTTATTCGCATAGCTTCAAAAAATAATTTTGTAGCATAAAAATAATAATCGCAAAGCTTCATCATCATCAATCATAAAATAATTATACATTAAAACAAATTGATTTAACAAATCACATCACATAAATAGATTAAATCTTAAAATTGTAAAGTTAGCAGCGGGACTAATTACGAACAGGTGCTGTCAAGTAAATACTTGGCAATGCTTCCGCGCAGTGACTTGGACTAACTTCACAGCCGCCATTTTTAGTTTGCATCGTACTATCATTTATTTATAGATTATAATTAAAAAAAAACTTTCCAAGTGCGAGTCGGACTCGCGCACCGGGGGTTCCGTACAAACTCAATTTAATAACTTTACGCGTTCATGAGACAAGAGGTAGTAACTTTAAAATTTTTATTATATGATGTAACTAAATTTACGGCTTTTGCAATTTTTCCTTTACCTGTACTATAAGACGTTACTTCGTACCAAATTTCAAGATTCTAAGTTCACGGGACCATTCACAGTACCCTGTAGGTTTTAATTCCCGTGCGAGTTTCGAAAATTTACGGAAATTTGCGGTATAAACGGCTGTATCTTTTGATTGCTTTGGCTTAGAAGTTAGATTATTTCACAGCTCTAAGGGACGCGTTCCTGAGAAAAACGACGGACGGACAACAAAGTGATCCTATAAGGGTTCGGTTTTTTCCTTTTGAGGTACGGAACCCTAAAAATACATAGATACATAACAATAAGAGCAGTGCAAGTTTATACTGATAAACAACGCGAAGCTTATCGCTCGATCTTCAATTTTGGACGCAGCCCTCTTTTAAAGCTAATATCACCAAAATTAACAACTTATACGATTGTAATAAACAAACAAATGACTGTAAAAGAGCCCATATACATACACCAAAATCAGTCTCATAGTTACAAATAGGAACATCAAAATCATAATAAACAAAACTTTTATGGCACTGATTACAAGACCGTCATTGTCGTTAGTTTGAAAGCTCATTAATAAAATAAATAGTACCTAATTCTGTCGACATTTGTGCGACGGTCAAGGAGTCAATGTTAACGAGTCAACTTCAAAATACAGTGGATCCCCGGTAGTACGACAAACATTTTGCAGGGCAGTGTCGAACTATCGAATTTGTCGGATTATAGAGTACTGCCTAAGACCCCCTATAGTCCGTTTTTTTTTACAAAAGTGTGCCTTGTAATCCGACAAATGAGGGTGTTTATGAAAATTTACGTCACCAGTTGGCGCCACTGTTACGTGAGGTCTTTTGTATGAAGTTATTAACGCCAACTCCATAGACCAGATTCATAGTCTATGAGATCATATGCGATTTGACGGATGATTATTCTGACGATGCAGACCTGAAAAGGCTGCGAAACGTCAATAAATAAATAAAGTTTCGTGCATTAACCCGTAAAAACCAGTTTTATAAAAAACAATACCCTACGCGTCGAGCACAATAGTGATGGTGCGTACAAGTTGTAACTTTTTCAATCGTGAATTAGCTAATACTTGTATGTAATAGACGATGTTGGATTATAGGGGGTGCCGCATTAGCCAGGGGCCGGATTACCGGGGCTCCACTGTAATGCATCTTTTATTTTATGATACACTCGTCTTTATCGCGAGAGCAACTATGGCCCGTAACGGGCCATAGTTGCTCATTAATACGTAATAGATCGCTCTCAACTCTTGAGTAAGATATTGAGATGCTGTTTTGAATGAACACAGTATCTCAAGATCGTAGTCTCAAAGTTTAATGCGATCTAGTAATAAAGGCCTATAACTTATTTTAAATTAAGAGATATAATTACTATTGTTTTTCTCTCTTATACTCACCTCACCTCTGTCATTTTATCTTTATATGGTGTTGACAAACACATATAATAAAAACATCCCATTTAGATTAAATAATTAAATAAAATAATGTAGTAGAATAGATACATTAATTTGTATGAGACGTCATAGGTTGGAGTCCGTCTAAGATTTTATTTATAATTTATGTTTGTATACAAAAAGTCAGGAGATTCTAAACGCCAAAATCTTTTTGATAACACAATCCAACGACAAAAATCTTCGAAGCTGTATCTATTGCCAATATGATGTCAGTTACTCGCACTCCGAAATAGACGGAACTGTGTCTTGGTTGAAATAGTGAACTGAATATTTCTTCGCAAAATATCACAGGATGTCAAAATAAATCATTTTCGTGAAAACATGGTTTTGAAGCTGATATAAATTAATCTTAATATGTATACCTATATCAAACTTACATAATATTATCAGTCTTTAGTTTACTTATGGCAGTCAGCACCTTGGTTAGTTTTGCATAATCAGTCTTATAGAGTAAAAGTTGTATAAAATACCAACTCATTGTAATTTATCTACCTTATTCTACAGTAACCTCGCAGTATTAGACATTTTATTACAGAGTAAAGCGAGCGCTCATTGCGGTAACGTGAGATTACAATGACATTGTGGTCAGTGTTGCCAACTCTACGTCTTTTTACGTAGATCTACGTATTTTAGGCCTTTTCTGGAAACCTACTAACTTCAGTCCCAGAATCTACGTATTTTCTTAATTTTTTTCAAATTTGTAAAATAACTTAATTCACTAGAATAAAGAAGAATATTTTCCGTTACTTTACTTAAAAACTATACAAATGTTTATTTCTTATAAAGATGTATCTAAACACTCTTGTATCTTGTAGAAAAGGTTCCCGTTATTGGTTTTTTTTACTAAATTAATGCTGGACGCAGGATTTGTGAAAGCAGAAACGACAAAACTCTTTGACTTAGTAGGTACATACATAACCTTAAAAATTGTATTTTTAAACTTTTACTACTATCTATGAGTATCTACTCACATCGAATTGATCTTTGCAAAAAGAAAAGACCTTCAGTCGATAAAGTTACAGGATTTAGCAAGTTTTAAGCATATGTTCATGTGTAAGTACCCACCAGTGTCTGTGTCTGATGGTAAATGTTTACCACAGCATGGTAAATGCTTCCAAATTTCCAATGCAGCGACTTCGCCAAGAACTCTTTGTTCTATCTCCCGTTCTTAAACAAACAGTATAACAAAATACTCGTTTTATTCGGTTTCAAATCGCTTCTTCATTTCACTCAGAAAAAAGTACGAAGTTACTTTTCATATGCAAAATTTACCAATTCTACGTAATTTTCTCATCGGGCCTACGTCTTTTTTAAAATCCGAGTTGGCAACACTGATTGTGGTAACAGTTTACAGTGCCACACGGGCACAGAGCACAGCAGACGTGTATTGTGTCGGGTCGCCGCTCACCTACCTCACGTCGTTATTGGAGGTAGTGGTGAGAGGGGTACCCCGTCGCCTGGTAGGGGCCGTAGTTTTGCGGTGTGGTGGAGGTGGTGGCGGGCTGCGGCGCGGGGGGCACGCGCGACGTGCTGGGGATGGGGAATGCCGCGCTTGTCGGCGACTCTGTACACAAGCGGCAGTAGGGTAAGGTTACCATTAAGGATAATTGAAAAATCCTCACAAAAACCTTCGTTCACTTCGCGTAAGAGTTTGTTCATTTTAGTAATAAAATTGAATGGTGATTTGACATTCCTTATGTACTTTTATTCTTTAAGCTTAGAGACACCTCACACTTTCTCATTCGAACGTTGTCATCGTGCCAGCCAGCGTCCGCGCAACGTCGACGCTGGTCGGCCGCCGAACTCGGGCGTTCCATGGCGTCGCGTCGTCGCGTCGGTCGCGGCGCTGGATCAACGTTTTTTGCGTTAAGTACAACGAACACAAAATGTGTATCTTGATATATTTTTTAATCATTTTAATCATCAATTTAAGATTGTCGATGTCCGTTTTGGCATCCGTTAATAACCATAAGTGATTTTTATATAGTTAAATGCAATATGAAAAATAGCTTTCCTGAACTCGAAAACTCTACAAAGGATTTACACAATTTTTATTGATTCAATAGTAATTGCGGTAACGTGACACCATCGCTGATTGTAAACGACAGGCATCACGCCGCCGCGGCGTCTGGCACGATGACGAAGCTCGAGGACCGCTAGTGTGGGGTTATTATACTTAAACAAAGCTATTTTATAGAATTAAAAATAGTGTCATTCGTACATTATGGTGCTTTCTCTGTCTGAAGATACATAGAAACAAAAAGCGCCGGACAAAAATAAAAGTCCTGAATAACCGGATAAATCTCCACGAATAGTATCCTCAATTGTGGAAGGGAGAGAGCGATCGTAAATATGTAGTCACTCACCTGTGGAGGCGTAGGGCAACGGTGCGTAGGCCACACGCGCAGGCGGCGGCGGAGGCATTGTAGGTGGCGGCGGTACTGTAGGCTGGTACGGAGGGTACGCGGGCTGGTAGGGGGCGTAGGCGGGCTGGTACGGGGGGTAGGCAGGCGGCGGCACGGCCGGCTGGTATGAGGGCACCGCAGCCGCCGCCGCCACCGCCACCACTGGGGGTGCGGGCGTAGGTACGGGCGCGGGCGCAGACGCAGGCGCGGGAGGGGGCAGGCCCGGCTGGTATGAAGCGTACGACGCCGCGCCTACCCCCGAAAGACCACCGCCCGGTACAGACACAGCGCTCGCCGGCGCCACGACGGACCTGCCATTCGTTATATATCGGTAGGCACAAAAATAATTCAAAATGCAACGGCGATGAGACTATTTGTGTCGTTTTTTTATCGGCTCCGACCAAAATATGAATTATTCCCAGCACGCCCGTGCCTCCAACCCTACGTATGATTCGTTGTAAGCTAAAATTAATTTCAAGGCCATGTGCTCCCGTGAAAATTCGATGGGGTCCGATGAGACCGAGAGTTCCAAGCCTCACATTATATGCCTTGTTGAAATAAAGCGACATTTATTCAAAAAAAAATACATAAGTATACTTATTATGTTTATGTAAATAAAGTAATCGTTAATATACGACCTCCGCTTTGTACGTCGGGTTTAAGGTGTCGCCTACTCGAGAGGTCCAAGGTTCGAATCCTGGTAGGGGCAGATAGATGATTGTGTGATGAATATGAGCATTTATACTCCAGTCATGGATGTTCCTAAACATTCATGACATGAATGCATATTAATGCATTTCTATATACCTAAATATACTTACAATACAGTGGTGGTCACATAATTAAAGACACCCGCTAATTGTGGTACTAACATTAGCTAAAATTTGTATATAATCCAGTTTAATTGTTATTACACGACGTTGTATTCTTACAATGTGGGACCAAAAATAGTTGTGTTCATTAGTACTTTAGACACTGCTTACTACGTGAAACGAAAAAAAAAATTTTTAACGCATTTATCTATATATCTGGCCAGCTAATTAAAGACACTCGATTTGCTTAGAATAGAAAAAAAAATGTTCTTATTGAAATTATCTTTATTATACGATATTCCTAACACAATTATAAAACTTTCCGGTACGTATTAATAGTTGGTCGCATGTGCTTTAAGCCCACCATTCACTACACGCACCGCGAGCCGAACCCCGAGCCGTACCCATCCGTGGACAAATCCGTCATTGCCCACACACTACACGAGCGTCGAGTTGCAGTCCAGTCGCTTGTGTACTTTGGTGAGCCTCGCGCGTATCGTTCTTCCCTACCCTACCATGCCACCGGTGCTTTCCAAACGCACAAAAGTCGCTATAGTAGTCGGTGCAATACTTTTACCGGAGAATAAAAAGAAAAAGCGCGTTTGAACAAAGGAATGGCTGAAACAACGAACAAAATATACTCATTTAAAATTGCTGCAATGCATTCAGACCTGTAAACCACCTGTTTCTCTTTAGTTTTCTCTTTAAACAGCAGGATAAATTCTTGCCAAAACTCTTTATGATCGCCGAACGACATGTTATTATACTCGTTTACTCGTTCGTGATACAAACAACACAACTGCAGGCCAATTATGCTCGCTAATTGTGATATTGTTTTGATGTCAATTTCACATTACTCATTATGCTCTCCGAAAAATGCGATATCAAAATGACATCAACTCTAAAATTATATCAACTTACGTCAAAAAGGTGATACAGACGTGATACAGAATTAACAAGTTAAGAGGTCGTTCTGCGTGCACGTACTACAAATGACTGACAAGTTCACCGATAAATCTGTGCAAGCACACACACGTACGGATTTGTACGGCGCGGCTGGGGTGGGTAATACATTCACACGCGGATTTGTCCGCGGACTTGTCGCCAGCGACAAATCCGGCGGATGGGCGCGCCGGTGAATGGTAGCCTTTAGCAGAAATGTCAGCACAACATCTCTTGGGCATGGAAGCGATCAATTTTTTACAAGCTTCCACCGGAATTTGCTTCCAAGCTTCTCTAAAAGCTGTGTAAAGTTATCGATGTCCGTTTAATCGCCACTGTCTTCTTCACCTAGTACCACAAATTTTCTATTGGGTTTTAATCAGGAGTGTTTGTTTTAGGGCAGGGCGTTGCTGTACCTCAGACATTAACACTCATACTTCTGAAACATGTAGGACAGCTGTTTTGTCTATGATATCGAACCGCTTGATGTCAACGTAACCTGTCGAACTTCATTGGTTAGGTTGGTAGCAATGAAAGATTAGTTTCTTTTTTTCATTTGATTTAAAAATCGACTTCATCTTATAAAAAAAAAGAGAAACTAATCAGTTACTTTAAATTATTGTGATGGATGGCCCTGTTGAATTTACCAAGAAAAAAAACTGCATTTTATTCGAAATTAAATTTCCTCGTTGATTTAGGTAGGTATTTTCTTTTCCTTCGCTTAGGGAGCTTAGGGAGTAACAGATTTGTGTTGTTGATGCATCTTGTTTTGATTATGACGTCCTCTTGGCTATGCTGAAGTCGATCTTTGTCTCGGATGTGGTGGTGGACTGGTTCCGAAGTTATCTAGCTGGCCGGCAGCAGTGTGTACGTACCGACGACAGACGATCTGATTTCTGTGAAGTTACTGCTGGAGTCCCTCAGGGCGGAGGCCTTTCCCCTCTCCTCTTTTCTCTTTTTATTAACTTTCTCACTTCTCTCCTTTCTAGAAAAATTTGCTACCGGTGAGGACCAAGGTTGAACTTGCGCAATCTCTCTTAATGCCGATTCTGGACTATGCAGATGTTTGTAACGTAGATCTCAAAGGAAATCTACTTGATAAGCTGCAAAGACTTCAAAATCTTTGCATTCGATTTATCTATGGCCTGCGCAAGTTCGACCATGTTTCGGAATTTAGGAGAAAGCTCAAGTGGCTTCCCATTAAGTTGCGTCGTGTAGAGCATCTCCTCTTATTACTTTATAAGGTGTTGTATGACCCTCGCACTCCCACTTACCTCAAGGAACGTTTCCAATTTCTTGGTGTGGACCACGATCGCGTTTTGCGCTCAAAACACGATAATGTGTTAGAGATACCTCTCACCCGCTCTGAGTATTATATGGACTCCTTTACGATTAAAGCTGCACAGCTTTGGAACAAGCTTCCGCCTGAGATCCGTCACGCTAAATCAATGCACACTTTTAAAAATATACTACATGATTTTCTGTTACTTAAATCCTAGTCTGCTGTATCTATAAATATATAATAATGCATAATATGTTTATTTGTGTAGGTATATATAGTATGTATATTTGTGTAGGTATATGTTATTTATTTGTATATAATCTTTATATGTTTAGAAAATATGTACATTTCTCTATTTTATCTTGCTGGCATACTGCAACTTCCTCTTCGTTTAGTTATTCTTTACCGCAAAGGTTGTCTGGAAGAGATCGCTTAAAGCGATAAGGCCGCCTTTGCCCACATTATGTTATTGTTTCCTTATTTTTGTATTCTTTTGTGTGTGTGCAATAAAGAATTTATCTATCTATCTTGTTTCCCAAGCAGCGGCTGTTTAACTGTTGTCTAGGCCTTCAATTGAAGAGAAAAAATAAATGATAATCACAGATTATTGGTATCTTTCTCTATGCTCAGTTAAAAAAACAAGATTCAAATTTCTCTTTATTAAAATCAAGTTCCGTTTGTCGCCGTATGTTGGAAACAAGAACAAATTCTCAGCGATGATACTTAATAATTAGAGGCGAATCAGTTTGTGTCCTGGGGGATATTGGCAGACGTAGCGCGAGAGCGCTAACCGAACTGATACTTAATGTGAAAACATCCCGAAAGGTAAAATTGTCTTAACTTCCTTCTCTACTTATTTTGCAAGTTATGGCCATGAAAAATAACCTTCCTATTGGTATTCCGTATCGTATGTATGTATGTCCCGGAATCTTGCAAGGTAGGGCCGTATCTTTTCGATAGGGGGAATTGAGTAACAAAAATAATTTGTGGATGGATAGAATTCAAATATGGAACCGGCTAACTGGATTATCATCGCCCTAATTTATTTCCCGCATTTCTATAGGTATAGTATGGTGATTATAGTAATTGAATATTATAGCTATTGTTAAATTAATAAAGATGAAATTAATTTTATTTAAGAGCCCTTTCACATTTTTTGCAATAAATCGCAATTTCTGAGCGCCTCGTTTGCCCCCTTAGAAGAGATTTTGACTACTTCCAATAGAAGTAAACAATAGATTTATTCTTCCTATTGAAAATTAATGTAGAATATTTTCAAATACTATTTCCATTTTTTTGTACTGATCGTTCTACCGCAGCTAGTTTACGGAAAAAACGATAATATGCACAACTAAAAACGCCTTAATCTCACAATAATGTTCAATAAATTAGATCAAATTAATTACTACGACACCAGAAATATGTTTTTGTTGCAACATAATGTATTAGAATCTTGATTTTCCATCTCATTAATTATTAAAAAAACATCTAACCTCCGTGAGTTTCCCCAAAAAATAACGCAGGTTTACCTCGTATTTTGATATTGAATTAAATAGAATTACTATCAAAAACATAAAACTAATCTACAATCATTGAACTAATGAAATCTGTATATAATTTTATAATAATTTCATTAATTATTATTTTATAAGACTCTGAACATCACCCGTAAAATGCAATATATAGTAGTGCAAATCAAGACGCCGTTCAGTACGGCGCCAGCGCCTTTGGAGGTCGGACCTGTGTCGCTTTGTACCGCACGCGTTCCGAGCGATGCTACGAGTGCATTCATCGTAAAACTGGCTGGATATACTACGACCGCAAAAGTTTAATCGTTGACTGTATGTAAGTATCCACAACCGTATTAAATTTTATTATCATAAGTACCTACCTAGTTATTAATTATCGTTGCTTCAACTAATATTTTTGTTGTAAGCTTTTACAATGGGGCGTAAAATTCCTGCTTACCATTGTGTCAAAAAAAACGAAAGAATGATGCAGCCATAAAGAAAGCTTGTGAAGCAAGATGAATATGCTTATAACATTTCGTTTTTTATTTTTGTGGTTTCAATGGGTGTTTTAATTGTATAAAAATGGTGATTTGTCCGGACTTTTTAAGTATCATTGGTATAAAATTGTAATCAGTCAAGGTAATGTACTCTAATGACTTAATGGGTATGTCAATCTATCCTTATGTCTATAAAAAAAGCTAGAGTGCCGTAAAATTTTGCATTTCGATCAAGTATAACAAGTATAAGCTCGTGGGCCGCCAAAG